TAAGGATGCTGTTTAGAGTTAGAGTTCTTCCCGAGCTTGTATAAGACCCTGGGTCAGATCCCCTCTATCCCCAAAAAAGGGGGGCAGGAGGAGCATGGGGAGAAGGAGGGGAGAAAAAAGGGGTCACACATGGCTACTAGTTGGTACTGCGTGGAACAGTACACGGGAGTATCTTTGCACTGCTCTTCCACAGTTGCCTTGTTTTTCTTGTTTTATACTGTCAATGTCTGAACTTTATGGTCATTTCAGGAAAACTCTTGAAGATACGATTGGAGGTTCTTTATATCCAGGACCAGGGACATATTTCATTGACTCAGTCCTTTTCCAGTTACCTTTAACGTATATCATCCTGGGAAGGAGGAGGGGAGAGCCGGTCGGGACTTAAGGTTACCTACTGCCCACTCCCGAAGGCCATTGCGTGCGCACTGACTGCTTCACTCGGCAGCAAATGCTGGGGCTTCTTGCCTGCCTGCAGCTCTTTACTTGCTTGTTTAAAGGTGTTGCCGCCCCTAAAACCCTAACAGCATCCTGCCTAGTAAACTCGTGTCTGTAATAGTCAGGGAAAGACTTTCACGCCTTTCCAGAACTGCATGAGCTAAGTCAGGAGATACTGCAGCGATAAACCTTCAGTGCTCGGCGCCACGAGGCAATAGCTGTTTTTCACTCGGATTGAACATATTCCCACAGACCGCATGCACTCATCCTTCTGTATATGACCCTCACGCCACCTAGAGAGGGTTTCATATGTGCTTACAATGAAATATGACCCATATTCCCCCTCCGTTTCCCACCTCAAACTTAACCGAAATCCCACCTACCATATCACCTCCTAACTTCATTGTTTCTTCCTCTGCTTTTTCCTCTCCCTTCATCCTCTACGTCCAGTTAGTGTTGCTCATATGTGCATGGGTATGCGGGCCACCCACCGGAGCATGGGAAACCCATCAGGGGCCACACTCTCTAAGAAGAGCAAGCATCCCTCCCAGCAGCCATCCCCTGTAGAACAGCTCCTCAGGAAGGGGTGGAGCCTCCAGAGTTCTCCATCCAGTCTGGAGGTTTGGGTCCTGGGTGTTCTGCAGGTCCTATGCAGGTAACCACAGCTGTAGTGAGCTGATGAGAGCAATAGCCACGTCACATGCTCTGACTCCTACATTTGTTTCACCTCCCCTTTCCTGACACTCCCTGAAGCCTTGTGGCGGGGTGCAGGGGGCTTGTTAGAGTGCTGAGTACCCACAGTCCCCTATTTCCTGGGATACGTCCACTCCTCTGTCTCATATTTATATGATCTAGACTCATCTGAGATGTGACCCCCCTTCAGGAAGCTTTGCAAAGTCTATCACTCTCCTTTGCTGGCTATTCTCTGTGTCCTGTTGAATCCTGAGTTCATTCCTTTATAACCACTGTCTCTCTCTCTCTCTCTCTCACACACACACACACACACACACACACACATAACTTTTTATTTTTCATTGCCTCTGTGAGACTGTGAGGTTGCTGAGGGGAAATTTTCTGTCCTGTATTCCTACTCTTCAAGGTCACTCCATCTGAATCCTTTCTTTACCTCATATCCACTTTGGAAATAGGGTGAAAATGCTAAATCTTAGACAGATTACCTTAATTTTGCAAATAATTTTAAAGAATTCAGGGGTACTCTAAATGTGCCTGTAGACTTTAGGATCTTTAGGTTTTGAATAACCAAGAGCCCACATCAGTTCTTATATACATAATCATAGTTGTCACTGAGCAAATGTGATCAGTAAAAATGTGGCAGTTGCTGACTGAGCGTCTGGCAGGATCTACCTCACTTATTTCCTAAATCTACCCTAGGAGACAGCTACTGGGATTGTGTCACTCTTACAGATAAGGAAACTGAGGAATGGCATCTAAGTAACTTGCCTGGGGCTATTCCGGGTCTCCTCTTTTAAAATAGCCTCGGAACTAAACCTCACCGTGGTGCATACCGCTTCACCTAAGTGTTTATGGAATGATCCCCAGAGTGAATGCAGGGAATCACAGTGAGGCCGAAGTTAAAAAGATTGGGGTTAAAATCATTCCCAAAATAAAGAAGCTTAGGGACGTCACGGATGGTAAGTGCCTGGCACTTTCTCAGTGGAGCGGATAGCCCACGATATAGATTCTATCCAACCTCCAAATAGCATTAAGGATAAAAGTGTAAAGATGGAGAGCTTTTATTGACTATTTCTGCACACATCTGACACTGAGTTTGATGGGTCCTAAACAGACCATATCATACTATAGTGTCACTAATTCTTGAGATACTGTTGAATTAAAAAGTATTCAGTTTATTTTAAAGTGTGTGTGTGTGTGTGTGTGTGTGTGTGTGTGTGTCATGCATTTGCTGGTGCTGCAAAACCCAGATGTGTCAGATCCCTTGAGCTAGAGTCCCAGATGGTTGTGAGCCACTCCCCATGGATACTGGGAACCAAACTCAAGTCCTCCGCCAAAGCAATACCTATTCTCAATTGCTGAGTCATCTTCCAATTAGACTAGAGTTGAATGTTGAGTCCCAAATTCACCCTGGGGAAGGACAGGATGGGAAGATGACCGCTGTCCTGCTCCCTGAGGAAGGCAGTATAAAGACACTGTGTAAACCTTCACTGCTCTCTCCTGGTAACAACCACCACGCAAGTCTTTCCACAGGGGTGAAGCAGTGTTAGGAAGTGTGGGCAGCGTGAGCTTTTCTTTCTTTCTTTCTTTCTTTCTTTCTTTCTTTCTTTCTTTCTTT